TGCATGTTTTTTACCACTTCAGAGAGCTTTATAGTTTTTTGTTTTTGTTATATGAGCCCTCACTCAATGGCCCGTCTACTGGAACAATATGCTTTGTTTTCAGTTCGTCTTGGGAAATGGGGTGACTGGTGGCCATGTTCACCTCTTGCGTTCTGCTGTTGCAGTATTGTGAGGCCATGCTGTTACTTTTTAAGATCGGTTGTATTGTGAGCGCCAGTGGTGTTACTTTTAAGATCGGTTAATGGGGTGTCAACCTATAGAGATAACCTACCTACTCCCGAAGCCTTCCCCTTCCCGGATTTGGGTTCTTAAATTTGCGTTTTCATTGTCAAGGATTAGTTTCTTTTGCTTAATAAAGTTATTTTGGCCAATACAATAATGTCTTAGGAGCTTAAAAAAGAACAGAAAGAAAACCAAAAAGAAGAAAAAAAAATTCATAGAGATTCCATTTTAACCGCATGTGACACGTCAAAATTGGGTGTAATCCCCAGATGTCTCATTTATCGTCCATGGAAGTTAATGCAAGATGCAAAAATAAAATTTATGCGGAATGTTGCGAACTGAGATGTGCAGACCAGAGAAGATTGTACACATGACACAACTCCCGTGGAAACGCTGCAGCAAATGTGTCATGTGCACTGTCAGGAAATATCTAAAAATTTAAAAGTTGAAACTGAATCCGCAACGTTCCGGAGCTGAGTTGATGATCAAATTCCTTACAAAAAAAGACTTGAACACCAGGCCAACATTTCTTTTACTCTGGAGCACACCAAACAACTGCGTCGATTCTCTTCCTCGTCGCTCTCTTTGTGATGCAAACCATGTGAAAGATAAATCGCCAAACTGTACTTTAAAGCTATGGCCACCACTCTCCATACAAAATAATTCGGAACACCCGCATGACTTCTAAAAGAGCAGCCCTCGCAGGCACCCACTGGTGCGGAGAGCGCTTCGTGCATCTTTTTATCTCTAGTCTGGTGAGCGTGATTGTGCTAAAATATCCCTTCTACTCCGTGAGAGCGGACTCCCGGAACATTGAGCGAGGCGCGCCGTCTGTGAAGGTTGTCCTCGATAGAAAAACAGGGGCGTACACACATAGTAACTCCCGGTGCCATACCCCCCGCACCAAATTATGTCATGCGTTAATAGGCACCCGACCTAATAATTTCAGGCACAGAAAGAAATATCGAAAATATATGATGCCGTTTTACAACACACAAGGAGTCACGCGTGCTGCGGTGCGCTTAACTAAGATTCACATTCAAATCTGGCGCCCCCCCCCCCCTAATTGCAAAAGCCGGCGTACGCCAATGTTAAGCAATACCTCAGGATCACCACGAAGTCGTAGGAGGATAAAGCAGGCAAGCCGCCTACATGTGATCCTCCTGTTTCAAGATGCCAGCCTGTGCATACAGGTGACCGTCGCCGGGCCATAAAGTGGTTTGCACGGCCTTGGGGTAGCGTGAACGGTTGGTGTTGCCTTAAAGTTCATGTCAATTCGCTGATCCCTTGAGACCCCCAGCGTGATCAGGTGATGTTAAGGTTCGCTAGACGAAGCCGGTGGGCTAAAAGGAAAATGCGTATGGAGGACTTAGCATATAAGGTCCTTTCTAGCCACTGCCCAGAGATGTTGCATGCTGGCAAAACGACACGCAGCGTTCGTGACCGGTTTTGGAGCCCCTTGGCAACGCATGATTACGTAGAGCACGCATACCACTGGGTAAGCACACAGGTGTCGTATAGGGTAGCCCGAAACGTGGCATCGGAGTGCGGTGCAACAAATGCAAACTTTACCGTACAAATTTTAGCAGGACGAAATGGTTACGCGGTTTTCAGGATATCGGAATTATTGCGCAACCGTAATCTTTTCCCGAGGTCGAACATAGAAACGTAATCGTGGTACTAAGACACCCTTACTCTTAGCGTTTGAGCAAACTGACATACTTTTTCGAGCAAAGTCGCCTTCTTCGTAGTTACAATTAGAAAGTTAATATATATATATATATATATATATATATTAACTTTCTAATTGTAACTATGTAACTATATATATATATATATATATATATATATATATATATATATATATAGTACACGGTTTAATACGCTTATGAGGAGTTCTCTAGTCGTGGTGAGCACTATCACTTATCGTCAAGTTTCTTCCTATACCTGCCATGCCTTTTATATATGTATATGCCTGTGTTCGGTGCGTGCCATCAGAATCCTGGTTAGCCACCTGTGCTTCGAGTAGCCCTTAGCACAGTACCGCGTGCAGCGTGACAGGACACGAGAGCCTGAATGACCGAAATGCTCGTGATGTGTGTTCACTCTTTTTAAAGTGTGAAGGTGGTAAGTAGATTTACGACATCTTACACCCGTCATGCTTTACATATGGCATCTTATGTGAGAAAGCCCCCACAACAAAACTTGACAGGCTTGAAAAAGGCATGAAAAAACCCGGTCGATATTTGCAGCCAGGCCCAACCATAAACAGGTGTTGGAATGGTGGAGCTATATCAGGTGTTGGAACGGCGGAGCTATATCAGGTCCCCGCAGTATACTATATGGCACAATATCAACAACAAATTAATGGAATTACTTTCAGGTGCCTGGCATGCCAGCCTTTCAGGGAAATTTTGTGCATTTTCTCGGTCCGGTATTCATGTTTGCTACATTCGTTTGAGGGGGCTCAGATGAGCACTGGGGAGCGGAAGCTAACCATTGGGGAGGGCTTGAGCTCCCAATAGTATATGACGTGACGCTATTGGCACCCATAATTATATAAAGTGACGCCTCTGATGTGACGCGTCCCACGTGGGGTTCGGCATGATGTCTTCCAGCAGTGCCTTGCGCAGTCGAACCCAAACTGCCTCCAAAGGTAGATAGCAAGAGTAAGCAATGAACTCTAATGGATGAGAAGCATATATCCTGCACCGTGATTTGTTACAGGGTACTAAGATGTGACTTCCCAGTTTCCGCAACTACAAAGGGGAAATTTGTTAAGCGTTATTACGTGTTGCGTGCTTTTAGAGCGCACCGAACTTTGATGTACCACGCACCGCTTCGAGTTTCATTGTTAAGAGATTACTCATTTATAACCGCTGTCATCGTGTCGTATTTGATGTGGGTGGATGATATCAAAGCAGAGAGCCACCACTCCTTAACAGATGACGCTGAAAAATTATTTGGAATTTTCCGATGGCCTTCAGCCGATCCGATACCACTGAAATGAAGTCTTGCCTTGGATGTTGAAATTGAGTTAGTTCAGTTTACAGCTCAGTGCATCAAACAGAAAACATCTTCGTTTTCATTTTTGTTTCTACACTGTCTCAAAAAGCGATCAATTTTGAAATCAGCAAGTGTTTTACATCATCTTTGCTCCAGCCATAAACTCTTTTTTGCCAAATCAATGTCAAGGATAAGTGAAGTTCCACGTTGTGGAAACGTCAAGTTATCTACCATCTGTAAGCAGCGAAGGAAAACGGCATGTCGTACATGGCTGGTGCCGCCAAATGCCACAATTTTGGCACCCTGCTATAGCTGTACGGCACACGTTTTGAAATTGAGACGCATCATGGCTTGGGCGGGCTGAAGGAATGCTGTAAAGCTTATATCAAGGCATGAAAGGACGTGAAAACTATTAATTAAAAGTTGATACAGATTGTGGACCCTAATTGGTTGACAGCACTTAAAAAAAAATAGTTTATTAAAAGCTATAACTGCATCCTGAACGATCTAGAATCCAGGGTTCAGGGATCTGCCAGCTCGCGGCCATTTCTGGGATCCAGGTACATGCATGATGTCTACACATGACTTGTTTGACCTTTAGATGCCTTGGCTGGCGTGGCGACCTCCCGTATACTGACAGGGCAGACCCGGACGTCGGCTAACGACGCAACACAAATATCAACTGTCACAGAAATAAAATGTCACTTGGTAAAGCGTAACATCGCAGCAGGCTGAGTAATGGTCGCATTCTGTCGCCCCCTGCGGGCGTATCCTTCCGCGTCCACTTGTGCAGCAACAGCATCATGGGCTACCATCCACCGACCTGTTTCGTTGCGCTGCTCTATGCATTCCAACTGCATGTGCTTGTTACGTTGCCAATCGTTCTCTTCCTTAAAAATCTGATAAATGGTTGGTTCGTTTTAGTCAGCATAAAAACATTCCAAGACGTGCCTTTTGGGCATTACACAATTGCCGAGGTAAAGAAGCAGCAGGAGTGGGGTGACAAGTAGAGTATTTCTTCGAATGCATCAGCATTGTTCGTCTCTCTTTCTCGGAGGATGTACCTCTGGGAAGGACAGTTCCTATGATTCCCCGGCCAACAGCGGTGACAGGAGTATAGCAGTCACGACCCCTGATCAACGACATTCCGCAAAAGAGGTGACAATGCTTCTTCCACTTCCAGATCCCTGTCCCGGCGCCTAAACGTGGCAAGTGCTCGCCGGCCTGTCCAAAGGGCCAGCACTGCGAGCTGCAGCGCCTGTGCTACTTCGGCATCTGCGCTGGCTACCAAAATGTGTGCGTCAAGTCGCCAGCTGCCATTGTGGAGCGTCCCCCCAGCTGTCAGGGCGTGCGCTGCAGCAGCGTGCAGACCTGCGTGCTGAAGCAGGTGGTCTGCGTGCGCGCGCCCTGCTACCCCGTGCCGGTCTGCGTGGCGGACGGGTGCGCCATAGCCCGCTGCCTGCCTGGCCGGGTCTGCATCATGGCCGTCATACCCGGCTCCGATCCAGCCTGCTCCAACTTCCCCGACTGCCGCTACAGGTTCAGCTGCCAGCCCCGGGCCAAGCCCAAGCCCGGCTTCTGTCCGCCGCCGAAGCAGGTTTCCCAGGGCGAAGGCAACGGCTGCAAGTACGACAACGACTGTGTATCCAATCTCCTCTGCTGTCCGAGCGCGTCCAAAGGAGGACGCTACTGTACCGCCCCCGCCTTCCCCGACCCGTGCGCCGGCAAGAATTGTCCATCGAATGCTCCCACGTGCGCGTTAGGACGCAATAGCGGCGCGGCCGTATGTATGGACCGCGCTTGTACGCCGGACAAGTTCTTCTGTGATAATGGCAAGCAATGCTACTGTTCGGACCACGGCAGAATCGTATGTACCAATGTCCCCGCCACTTCGAAATGCCCATCTGGCTAGTTTTGTGTGACACTTGTGGGTAAGTTATGGCAATCTTTGGGAAATGCTTACAAGTTGTCATTAAATTTTTAAGCTGCCGCGTAAGTCTTCCAAAACATGTTGAAGGGCTCATCGCTGCATGTAGCGTGTTTTGGCCATTTCAGTATGGGAACTGCGCTGTATATTCACTGACTGCTTCAGAAGTTGACTGCGAGCATTGAAGACCGGAAAGGTGATTAGAACAACAGCAAACAATATATTTGAAACGCTGCTTGGTCTTAGATCCGAAAATATATTAGCATACAACATCCTCTCTGGTTGCCTCGCAACAGGACAAACTCAAAATGAGCAAAGTATCTTATTATTGCTAGGGTATGCATAACTGATAAAATCTTAGTAGCCAAAACGGTTTTATTTAGAGCAAGACTGAGGAGAATGCTGCGGATGACCTCCTCTTCCTCAAACTGTTGGGTGACGCATACAGTGTATTCAGCAGATGGTCTCTCCGACGCGCATATTCGCACGTTTCCTTCGAACTATCAGCACATATTTACAGTCTGCCTCCAGGGAGCCCCACAGGCGGTCATCAGCGATGGTCTTCTGTTACGCACGGCTCGTTTTTGCGCACTACGACATGCTCGAGGCGTGTGAGGCCTCGAGCTCAGTGCGCGGAGTCGGATAGCACTACGGGGAGCCACTGCTCTTTGCAACAGTGGGCTGCCCTCCTGTCTGGCGACCCGAGGCTCGGCTGGCGAGGAGGGGGGGGGGGAGGGGGGACCATGAAATCCAAGTTAAGGTGGACGTGGGGACGCTGGCTACCCGACCCACGTTCTCTTCGGCACGGAGTAAGCCGTCGAAGACTCGCGGGCGGACATGGGCTGGAACGAATATGAATGTGACGCACACGAAAAACTCCGCAGGACTTATGGTGAGCATTTGATTTTTCGTTCTGCAGCAATTGCTATGTTTTGTAAGTTGTTAAGTGCATCTGTGAGGAATGTTTTACATACAAATATGACAGTGCTTTAGCCTTGTTCTTCGTAGAAGAACCTTAACAAAATGGCTTTCCGACTAGCAGACGTTTGTTTTAACGACAACTCGGAAAACAAATGGGTCCACCGGCCGCCATACTGTTTATCTGTCACCTAGAAGTTCAGATGGATACCGCTCTGAGATGTCCATAGCATATCGCATAATGACGTCATTTGGTGGATTCGAGCAAGGGGATTACGTGGACCAATACCTGCGCCTACACGATGCGGGATTTATCTGATAGCACCCAGCTGTGCTTCCCTATAAGAACAACTTAAGCTTCTCTTCCCTCCTCCCTGACGTTTACCTGTAGTGCAGCCTTCTTATTGATGCTTCGAGCGGTGACCAGGTCTTGGCCCGTTCGTTGGGGCGACACCGATGCGACTTTCTTCAGTATTACGCTAGAATCTTAACAAGTTACCTTTTTGCCAGCCATTCCTTGCATGTTTGTTTTACCTTCCACTCGTTTTCCTTTCATCCCGTATCATGGGTTTCGGCTGTGACCATATCGTTTCAAAAGTTCTTATGGCCTCGAAAGTACTATGAACACCCAGATACAACATAAGGAAACGTGATGCTAACGGGCTATGTGTTTTGCTCCTACGGGCAGGGTCTGTTTGCTTGTTTATTTCATTTCGGTGCATGCTTGACAAAAACACGCATAGGTCATCCCATTCAGATCAATAAACTTCCTGGAAAAAGAAAGCAGGACGGAAGGCCATTTTCGAACGCAAGACTTTCATTATGAGGTCCAAGAACAGCCCCAGCTACCGCCACTGCCGCTGCCAATGTAATGCTTTCATGCCGCAGTTTTAAAGATTTTGTGCCGCAGCCCCCAAAGTACGCTGCCAGCATCTGACCACCATCCGTTTCCCAGTCTTGTAAAAATCGTAGAAATGCGACTTCCTTGCACCAGCAGGCTAAGGCATAACAAACGTCCGAAAACATTTCAAATGGTGTGATCAGGCCGAACGTTTCTATTGAATGATCGGCCGCCGAAGCCGTGGTATACTGCTATAGAACCGTGTCAGCTAGGGAGATTAATCAAGGTGGTTGGTTGTGAAGCAGCCACTGACACTCGGTGACGACAAAATGAAATTATCATCACCACATTCCATTGTCACCGTTTTAATCGCTGCAAGCTAGTACACACATCAGGTACAGAAAAACCTGTATTTTCTGTGACAACCGAGTTTGCAACGACGTTTTTCTCAGCGTGTGATGAACTCAGAAGCGGTTATCACCGCTAAGATTGCACAACCTAAATCATTCAGCCAGACAGATGGAAAGTTTACGCAACGGAGCCTTCTTAATATGGGTGGGCGTATCCATAAGCCGAGTACGAGTTGTAGTTAGGGCCGCTGGCGGCTCCATACGAATGATGGGCGTAGGCGCCGTAGCTGTAACCGAGAGAACGTCCGTAGCGTCCGTGGCTGAATCCGTGCCCTCCGTGGCTGCCGCCGGATCCGTGTCCCCCGTGGCTGCGGCTGGATCCATGTCCCCCGAAGCTGTGGCTTGAGCCGTGTCCCCCGTAGCTGCGGCTGGATCCGTGGCCGTATTGTAGCCCAGAGAACGTCCGTGTCGCTCAAGGACGTGTCTGTGTCCTCCTTGGCCGCTATGGCCATAGCTGCCATGGCTGCCATGGCTACGGCCGTGTGAGGCAGAGACAACGGCCACCAGGGCGGCGAGCAGAACCGGCTGAAGACGGAAACACGCAATGCTCGTTAGCACACACCTCGGAGCGAGTTCAAAACGGATCGTCGGCTGGATGTCAATTTGCCAAGCTATCAGTGTTGCTCTGAACTGCACACGGGGAACTGTACGTCAAATTAGCCAGCAAAACTGATGGTGAAATTAATTTTGCACCCATGATACAGCTGACCTGTGACAGGCCAGGAAGAAGCTTTCCTAGTGCATGTAGGTGGTGATTGCAATAAGAAATGCAGCAGGCACTTAAGTCACGATATTCTTTGAACTTTGGGAAGTGAGATCGCATGCTAATGCATGGTCTCTACCGTCGATCACTTACCACCAGCTTGGCGTTCATCCTGACTGTGGAACGGTGGCCGGTTGTGGGAGCAGTGGTGCCGACTGAGGGCAGCTGGCCGCTTATAAGGCAGAGGGCTGACCTCGCTTCAACCTCGCACCGGTGCTGGTGCCGGCCGTGGCTGCTCAGGCATCACATGCACTTGGAACCATGCTCTGGCCTTCGGCAGCAGCACACTTGCAGCGATGCCAGAACTTTCCCGATCCGCATAGTTCAAAGCGCGCTGGACGATATCACAGCGCAATGAGAGCGCCGTAAAAGCACATGGTAAAAGCGTTTCAGTCATTCGCCTCCGGCGTCACGGCAGACCGAGCAGCTGGCTGGGCTTCAGTTGGACTTAAATGCTGGTTACAGAGTGCGACTAATCTTATGGACCAGAGGCTCCGTTTAATGGAATTTCTAGTCCAATCCCCATCCAAAATTCCACGGTTAACTTGAAAACTGGTGTCCGCGAAAGAAAAAAAACTGTTCAAAAAAATCCGATGGTCAAAAAAGTTCAAGTTTTTCACGTGTAATGTCCACTACTTACAACCAATAAGCATCGCCCAATCCCCCTCCCCTGCAGGTACTTGCGTGGCTGGACTCGCGCACTCGAATCGAATGGAAAGAAAGAAAATAATTATGGGTAAGAAACGTGTATCATAAGGTATCTTGAAAATGTCCACAACTAACGAGTGACGCTTGACGAAGTGGATAAAAGACTCGTAAGGATTTACTATCTCGGACCAGTGACCACAGATACAGTGGAGACGGAATATTCTTATGTTTATTTGAAATATGGGTCAAGTGTAATTTGTGTGAGGATTCCCCAACAACTTTGAGCCGTAGAAACCTGGATGAGCTTTTCGTTGCTGATGGCATGTAAAACCACCTTTTGAATGCATTGCGTGATGTCTGTGAGCGGCGCGCATCTGATAGTCGACCCACGTGTGCGAATGGCGTTCAGTTTAAGCGGTTGTTGCAAAAATGTTCTGCTGTTGTGCAGACTAAATGTTTTTCAGTTTCCGAGTGTTCTACACAGGATGCAACCAGGATTTTCTTAAATTCCCGGAGCTCGGTGCCAAGCATCATGCCGATTTTTAACTTCGTGTCGGTAGCCTTCTGTGGTGAAAGACACAACATCTAGGCAAAATGAGGGTACCGCCTTCCTAGGTCTCGCTACCGGTTTCGGGTAATGTTTGTATTATCACCATGGGAACATAATAAATCAAAACTTGAAGTAAGCTTTACTAAACCGATCCCGATCTCTATGATTGCTCGGGTTCAAATATGGGTCTTATCCGTGGCTTGAGCACTGGTGGAGTTATGTTTCAAAAGGTAGGCCGAAAACAGCTATGTTTTTTTTGCAATGATGCACTTAGGTACGCGAAGTCATATGGCCAAGTGCGGAACTTTTTTCAACATGATAGGTTTTGCGCGAAGAGAGGATCAACATACACACATTTACCTCATTGACCCATTTGACAGATGATGTTGGTCTGTCAAAACCCACCCTCGCATGCGTTCAGGGTTTCCATAAGACGCCTGGTACACCACCACCACGCAGCAAATGCCCTACAACCCGCTGTTGTTTACAATTACCTGCATCCACCGTCCGACGCCGCCGAGCGATAATGGGTCGGTCGGCAACAGTTTGTAGCCGGGGAGTCGGCAGCTTGCATCCGTGGAGTCG